TTTAAGAAGCTGGCACACAGGGGTTGTTTTCATGGCCCAAAAAAAAAATCACATTGACTGGAAATCAGTGGCCGATTCCAGATGGGGCCTTCACTGCTGGGAGTGAAGTGCATCGTCTCTTGTCAGTGTGTCTCCCAGGTGTTTATCAGGCGACCCACTGGCCAAGGAGATTATTATATTGACACTGCACTCACAGTTCAGAGGGGTTCGGCAATGACAAGCATCCAGCGGTAACAACAGGTGGATAGAGAGCCGTCATACTGCACGGTGACACAACAGAAGCAATCTCAACCGAGAGCTCTTACCACTGCAGATAACAGGGACATCATCGTCTCTGTGTCGCCTCGATATAAAATAAAGCAGCTGCAGCACGAATACGCTGTGACAACTTAAAAGCAGAATATCAGAAATGCTCCAGTGGAGTCTCAGTGCTCCGACAGGTTTTTTTTTCTCACTTGCCCTCATCTCACCATGTAGATGGATGGGTTTCATTGATGAGTTTTTTAAATATTGATTACTGAGACTATTGGTTCAGTTGAAAGTAGCTCCAGTGGCAGCAAGGACCAGGACTTTGTTTTCGAAAGGGAAACATTGCTTTGGTGTTTTTTCCAAATGTCACTTTGCAATGCTTTGTGCACCATCAATTCCATTCAACTCCATAATACTGTGTTGGTTAGGAGGACGAAAGTAATTTGTCATCCTTCAGAGATTTTGCTATCACGTTTCTAATGAGGTAAATATATGTTAAGTATATTCTGTTATGTAATGGAATATTAGGTAATTGTGTGGGCAATGTTGCAAATCAATGAGCGAGATGGATAAAGGATTGTTGCATTAATGTGATGGACTTCTTTGATCTAATTGGCTGGATAAGCCAAAAAACAGAGAGACATTATCTTCTGGTTAATTTACTTTGAAGTTATTTCTCAATAGAATTTCCACAAAACTGTACTAGTACATCATTATATATTATACATCGACAGGACTGGAAAGAGTAATCGAATATTATACTCATGTAAAATAACTCATTTGAAATATTTCTTTTAACTCAAGTACCAGTAAAAATGTACTTAGATAAAAGTAAAAAGTATAGTTAGAATACTCTGAGTAAACTTTACATTCTTAAAATGGAAGGGGATAATGGATAATATGATAGACCTATTAAAGTAAAGAACACATTTAACATTATGTCAACTTATACACACACACACACAACACAGACAGCTTTGATGTCCAAACCAACAATATTCATCTTCTATAGCCGCAGCCTTTGCAACCGCCTTCCTCACTGTAGCCTTTCAAGATATAACCAGAAAGACAATTAAACTAAACAAAAAAAAAAACGACAATAAATAACAGTGTACACTGCAGCAGGTGCAACTACGCATTATTAAGCTGCAGAATTTAAATAGCCTGACACTTGTTATAAACATGACAGGCAGACAACAGAAACAGTATAAACTCCACAGCAGCAGCAGAAACAAACACACATTAAACAAGAGAGAGCTGCAGTTTTACACACCCTGTAGGTAGGCAGGCAGGCAGGTAGGCTGGCTGGCGCGCGCGCACACGCGCGCACACACACACACACACACACACACACGCGCACACACACACGCTATGTAGATGTTTTCCTCCAGAGAACTACAACCATCACAGTCAGCGTGTTGGGTTACTCCCCTGTCTGTCTGAACGTCATTCTGCGAGCATCACGAAGTCCTCCTCAATCTGATCCAGGTTCAACTTCTCTGGACGTTTATTCGCAGCTTACATAACATAACCAGTCCGACTCAGTCAAGCAGAAGTCACCTGGAGAATACACGGGGAACATTTTAGCTCGCTAGTCACACGAAGCGTGCACCTGGAGACGTCACGTGGTGGGTGTGTTTGATTTGGGTCATCTAGCGGGCTCGCATTAAACCACTGCTTAATTAAAGTAGAAATACACAACTATACCGAGGCACAATAATGTTTACCTTCAACCGTAATGACGTAACTCTTCATTATATTGCATTACTGTACTTTTTTAATAAACTGGGCCTAGCCCCATTCCTTGTGCCCGCCCGGCACACCCTCTTGCACCACAGTGAACATTTCCAGTGTCGCCTATCTGCACACGTGCTGCTGATTTGTCTTTTCTTCTTCTTCTTCTTCTTCTTCTTCTTCTTCTTCTTCTTCTTCTTCTTCCCCACTCTCCTACAACACCCAGAAATATCCTTGCTGCATCTAATAATTATGTCGATTTTCTCAGGTTTCAGTTAATTATCATCAAGTCCTACAACTTCACCTGGTCCTTACAGAAGCAAAATTCATTATGCTTCCTGACTGACTTGTCCTTTCTTGTGTCATACCATGCCTTGTCTTACCTACTTTTCCTAGCTCTGGTCCTGTTTATTTCTGATCCCTTTACTCTCTTTGGACAGTGATACAGATTTATTTATTTATTTAAATTACTCAATTAGCACAAAAAACAACTTTGGTACAGCAATGAGAGTAAATGTAAATTTCTTCCACCTCTGTACATCGATATCGATATCGCCAACCCCTGTTGGATATCCCAAAACGTTGACACATGCAGGTAAAACCTAAACTATCTGCATGCCTATATTACACCAGAGGAGTGGTGATTTGGGTGAACTGACCTTTTATAATAAGCCATCATAAGTACAAAGAGGAACGGTAAATGGACTTGTTTCTTCTTTTTGAGAAAGAATGAATAGGACTCAACATTAGGTCAGACATTGTGTCAATAGCTCAGACAAAATGGCCTGAAAAGTGCACATACTTGAAAACCAACACCTAGTGGTAAAAATTACGTCCATCCACCTCCATTACTGTTTTCTACACTGTATTTCGTTGCCCCCTGGTCCTTAATCAGTACATATTGTTCTGTAAAAGGGAATTAAGTGAAAGTGCTGTTTGGTTATTTGCATGAGCGGTTTGCTGATGAGCTGCATAGTCAGCCTCATAGATCCCATTTTGGACAAGAAGCGATAAAAGCAATTGATTTGATTAAATAAGCCAACAGCAACTCTGAGTGCAGAGCAAGTTTTTATTAGGCAGCTTCTTTTTCAAAATAGCCCATTCCACTGCTGGTGTTCAAAGGGAAGAGTGCATGATTATATTCCTTTCAAACCCCCCCACACACACACTATTTCTCCATTGCCAGCCTAACAGCTGCTTCTCCTTTGGCCAGCCTCCAAATGGATGACTGAGGAAAGTGAATGGGTTTTTAATTCCACTTGTTAACACCGCCTTCTCTCTGGTTCTCCTCCCTCAACCTGCAGTGCCAGCACCGCCAGATAGGATGAGAACGTGGAGTGGAAGGAGGGACAATAAACAGCAGCAGTTTGTGAAAAACACAAGAGCCTGATCTGAACATCAACAATTTAAATGAAGAGGACATTGATTAGGCATGAGCTGAGCTATTTGAAGTGTTGCATTCTCCTTTCCCTTTTCTTTTGTTGGTTAATTAATCATGAAGAGTTTTACTCGAGTATCTCAGAGGAGGCAAAGAGGAATGAAGCAGTGATGTTGTTCTGCCACTCCCTGAGCAGACCTCCTTTGAACTCCAGAACCACAGACAGGTGAATGCAAGATGCCTCAGGCAAGATGGCTGAAGTACATGTACAAAGAGAAGCCCACAGGCCACCATAAAATCCTTCTCATGATTCGACCCTTTTCACCTCACACTGACTCTATTACATTACCCATGTGACCTTTCAGTGAGCCATCATCACATGAGGAAATAAGGGGAGAGCAGCACAACTGCTGTTAAAGAATCCTGATTAACTCAAGTCAATAAAATGAAAAGTAGGAGGTAGAACGGCTTCTAAGAAACATCTAAGGTGCACAGGTCAGGTGTTCTTATCATAAAGATGATGACAAAATTGTAGAACACACACACACACACACACACACACACACACACACACACACACACACCTAACATTTCCATCTGCGGTTGCCAGGGAAACATTTCAATTGCATGTTTCTCAGCTGTTGTGATCCTTTGGAGTGCACCTGAAACATTCATGTCAACAAGCAAGCTTTGTGATACACATTTAACGCAACAAAGTACTAAAACATAAGGTACAATGCAGCCACAGATAAATACAACATGACAAGAGTATTTAGACTACAGGTTGTAGCTACATATAAGGCTAATGGTAGAGATGTTTAACAGCTAGACCCGAGTCTGACATTCAACAGACAGAAAAATGTAGTGTTCAAAGAGTAAGCAAAAGTTCCTAAAGGACGGCTTCCATACACCAGAGACATATTAAAAACGAGGAGCGGGGTTGGGAAACTTATAATCAACTGCTGGAGCATATAAAACCTGGATGCTTTAAACTGAGTGCCTGCGGCATGCAGATGGATGAGCTGTGACATCCATCCTAAGTGAGATGGATTACAGAGATTTGATTTGAATAACAAACTGATGGCTCTGATGTTTCGCTGCAGAGGTCCAGGTCTCTGGCCAGAAAAGGCCACAAGCTCCCATCACACCAGGTGATGGGTTTCAAACATCCACTGGTCTCTGTGTTGGTCTGCCTGTTCGAACATAGTGCAGCTGGGTGGATGGAGGCGGTGGAGTATGGATTGTAGCTGCTACTCTTACTCTTACTTAGTACACTAGCACATTTTCATCAGGTGAAATCACACATTCAAAACCGTTCAACTGAAGACATGATCGCAATCACAAAGAAATTGAAATTATGAAATTGATCCCAAGATGTAGATTGTAGATCAGTAGCACTAGAAAATGAATAGTGACTTGTGCAGGGAGCGATAAAAGTCAGGTGAATCAAACGACAACATGAGCAGGAGGATGTGTCCCATACAGCAGGCAAGGTGTGCCCTCTGGTGGAGAAACAGAGACATTGCAGTCCACGGTTGATTTTCCAGCTCACTGACTATTAAGACTCAAAAATCTTAACACAAAGATTCAAACAAATGGATAGTGTACAGCTTCTCTCTGTTTGTCAACAGGTAACACATTTACATGAGAATTTGCTCCACGGTTAATAATAATTCATAAATAACTGAAAACAGAAGCTTTGAGAACATAGACTTTATTCAATTCATATAAAAGTGACACAAAAACTTTAAAAAACAAACAGGTGCTTCAGCTAATCTTCACGGGGACAAGAGCCGGCCGGCATCGCAGAGAGGATCTCATTGGGGAACACACCGATGGTCATTGCATCTTCACCTCATCACCTCAATCAGTTGACATCATACTGTATGTAAAGACAAACCTTTACAGTAAAACCACCAGCAGAGGTCGGGGTAAGCCTGGGACAAACCACTGTACCCTTTACACTCCTCCTTCCCTGCATGTTTCCTCTCTTCCTACAACCCTGACTCCTCCTCACACTCCCCCCCCCCCCCCCCCCTTTTCTCCTTCATCTAGTTTTCCTTTTTTCTGTCTTCTTTCTGACCCTTCATGTCCCTGAGCTCTCCTGCTCTGATTGGTTCCAGACTTGCCACTGAGCTCTTCTTGCCGACTCAACATTCCACAGCTGGAGACTGCACACACTCACACACACTCACTCACACACTTCTCCTTACCCCTTCTCCTGCTCCCTTCCCCCTCTATCTTAGTCCAACGCACGCAGCTTTTTTTTTCTTTTCTTTTACAACAGCTCTGTGAGACACCAAAAGCCTCAGACTGAAATGGCCCCAATGAATTCCTGCAAGCAAAAAGACAGAAATGCACTCAGAGGCAAGAGTTGAGGGAAAAAGAAAAATGTTTGAGGCAAATGAACTCTAAAGAACGTGGTCATTACCCTGCGCAAATGTTAAATCTTAAAATGACGTAGAAAAAGACTGGAAGGAGGTTTTCTTTTGCGAAATAGTGAATTCACTTTTAAAACATTTTTTTGGCTCTCGCGTATACAACGGAGTCATTCACTTGAGGGATGTTTTCCTTTGTGGGGCAATGAGAAGTTCAAGCGTTGGCGTTTATCCCTTAAAAGTAGGAACGTTTCCAAATGTCTTTTCCAGTCGTATTTAAGTCAAAACACATAATGAAACCTGCATCATTAAAAAGACAAAGAGTGAAAAATATCCACGTGATAAAACACACAGAGAAGTGAACTGTGTCCATAAAAATGATGAACTAGACAAATATCAAATTGCAACTCCATGGTGCATACAAAGAGAATCACTGCCCTTAATAATTGCTGAATCAGCACCAGATGGTACATTGGAAGCCAAAACAAACACAAGTTCGGAATGACTAAAGGCAAGTGGATGACCAAGATTGAATTCGCTCAAGATAATTGAAGAAAGTGCCAAAATGTACACAGAGCCATGGGAGCTGAAAGCCTGATCATTTCATGAAAACCTTCAGTCCTGCAGTACAAAAAAGACAATGTAGCCTACTTAAAGACCAGCTTTCAACACTAAGAACCCTCAGACGGTCACCACTAATAATGATCCCTGTCACCCTCCACACATTCACATTTGGACTTCTTCCTCCTCTGCTCTTCTGCCAGCTGGTGCTGACGTGTCAGATCAGAGAGGAGGAGAGAGGCGGACCCACAAAAACCACACATGCATCATCAGTAACAGTTTACAGTCTTACCGCTGCACAGATAATGACAAATCAATGGGAAGGACATGAATGCAATAAAACAACAAAAAAAACACCTCAAGTTCCGGTAAATACTGTCATGGTAAAACAGAAGAAAAGGAAAAGTGAATTTGGTCCCGGAGAAGACTGTGGTTATGTATTTAGAGGACAGAGACAAACGGTTTTAGTTAAGAGTCGATCTGTGGCTGTGATTGTACTTTCTTGCTTTGTAAGTCTTTCAATCAAAATGGGAACAAAAAAAAGGAAATTTACACCGAGCAAAAATTTACATTGGCACCAGAGGAGACATTGAGGAGTGATTTCATAAAACCGATTTATGTTGAACTTTTCCAGCTGCTGCAATAAACCTAAACTCCCGGTAGATCCGTTTGTGGGCTTCATGAACGCTTTCGGGGGGAAAAGTTGTACATATGGAAGGACCTGATTTATCTGGAGAGAAATCGGTAGAACTGTTAAGTCTTGGCAGAAGATGATTGAGAAGGCGGGGATTCAATTTAAAACTAAACAACTGCTGCGCTCTACACAGCCCTTCAGCACTTTAAAAATCTTTTTTTTTTGGTTTCAAAAGAGACAACAACAACATAAATGCCACAATGTCTGTCTGAATCAGCCTCTCCTGTGCAAGGGTTGGGTCCGGTTCTGGGTCGGTCGGTCCAGGTCGGTCTCTGCTACTCTGCCTGCTCGTTCAGCTCCATGTCAGACACCAGGATGTTCTTCTCAACCTGCTCCGCCTGGCTGGAGTTGGTGCGGCTGTAGCGGGCCCCTTCATAGGACCCCCGGGACCCGATCGTTCGCCGACGGTACAAGTAGATCACGCCGACTATCAGCACCACCAGCACCAGGCCCGTCACCATGACAACAATCAGAGTGGGCAGGTGGTTGCCACTATCCACTAGGTAGAGGTAGAAGATGGATGTCAGGATTAGTGTAAACAATTCACTTTGTGGTTAGGTCATTTGATCCGAGTAACGCGGCAGAAGATAACTATGCTTACTTGTTACAGCTGAGGTTTCAGCAGCTGCAGACGAAGGAAAGGACAGTTAATAAAAATGTATCACTGATCATTGATATCATCCCCTACTGGGGTATTTCACAGGCTGTTCCACTGTGTCTTCACACTTACAAATACAGGTTTTTTTTCTCTGTGGCTTCTTCACTGTTCATTTATTTGAATCAATTTAAGGGTTTGCAGTTATGTATAGTGTGTGAATCTCTTTGAATTCATTAGCCAATATTTGATTTATTGATGGGTTTCATGTTAAAGGACACTGCTACTATCATTCATATTATTAGTCACATTACTATTACTGACACCATTACTGCTTTTATTATCATTATTATTAATATTCTGTATCCACTGCTGCTGTTATTATTATTAGTAGTAGTTGCAATGTTTCCATCATTATCCTGCTTACTATTCTCACTATATGAATCCTTTATATCATATGCATTAAATGTGTACACATGACATCATTTGCACTTCGGTCCATCCTGGGAGAGGGATCCCTCCTCTGTTGCTCTAAGGTTTCTTCCTTTTTTTTCTTCCCGTTAAAGGTTTTCTTGTTTTGTTCTTCCTGTTCCGATGTGAGGGTCCCGGGACAGAAGATGTCGCATGTGTACAGATTGTAAAGCCCTCTGAGGCAAATTTGTGATTTGTGTTTTTGGGCTGTACAAAATAAATTGAATTGAATGTAATTATCTCAGCTCCTGCACATGGATCGTGATGATTTCAAGAATTAATAAAACCTTGAAAATGATTTAATTTGCTCTGGTCTCATTGTTGACTAGTTTGATCTCAAAGTCGACTAACTCAACTAGAGCTGGTTCTGTGAATGACTTCCCCTTGGCTAAAGCGGTCTTGTGTTTGCTTACTGCGAGGCCCTTTGCAGATGACTCCATGTGTGCGATTTCTGCAGGAGCCCGGCTTCCACAGGCCACTGTTGCTCTGGATCCAGAAGCAGGAGTTTGGAGACAGAACAGAGAAGGCGACATCATGCGCCTCCCAGTTGGTGTACGACATCTCTGTGTCCCCGCTCCACACTAGGCCTCTACCTGCAGCAGGAACAGATGCACACACACACACACACACACACACACACACACGCACACACACACACACACACACACACACACACACACACACACTCAGAGGAGCTTTAAACAAACTCAAGCAGAAGTGTTTCTATAGTGTAATGTGAAGGAGAGCTAATTCATCATATCATGTTCTGGCTGACATCTCTGTTTAGTCATAGTCCATTATTGGATATATAAAATATATAGTTCCTCCCATTAATTTACCAATCATAATTAAGTACATTTCACTCAAATTACCTAATTAAGATTAATGCCGTTTAAAAAAATGAAATGTTCCGGCATAATGCACATTTATCACATTCATTTGACACGAGAGAAACAGATTTAATTAGGTTTCCTCTACTTAATTAATTGTTTCATGGTTTCATATGTTATGTTTCAAATCATAATCAGTCACGTAAAACCTTCTTAGATACAATCTAAGAAGGGTAAAACTTATTAAATTATGAAAGTTATCTGCACGCAGAGTAAGATAATTGCACTACAAGCAGCCTAAAATGAATACACTTGGATTAAAAAAAAAAAAGTGGAATATCTGAAGGTCAATAAGTTTTCTGCGGTAGAAAGAGATGGAACGGACTGTCTGATGCAATGTGCCCGGACCTTTCACGCTGACGCCCAGCCAAGCTCCATGTGCCTGCTCTGCATAGCTCTGGATGTGTTCCCATACAAATCCGTTCTCTGTCTCATCCAAGATAGAGAGAAGTTCAGCTCCCACTAGAAGAGACAAAAAAGAAAGAAACACACAGAGATTGAACAAAAGGGAAATGGGAATTGATCATACGTGGAGATTTAACAATGGTGCAGCCAGCTCGATGAACAACACTTCTAAATTTAGAAGTATTGATGCATTTTGTCAATTATGTTTGCAGTTGAGAAGGTCAGAAGCATTGCACTTAATTGGCTTTCAATTCAGTATCATGAGTTGTACGGGCAGCGCAGCAGGAGTCAGGAGGAGAGGTACCTTTTTTACAGGATGTACGTGCATCCTGCTGCAGTCTAAGACTTTGCAGGTTGAAGGCGTAACAGTGGTTTCTGAAAGGCACCCATGACCACTCCCCCAGAGAGTGGGGGCACTGGCCGGGGTAGATCCACTCATGAAGCACAGGCTCATCTGGCAAGGAGGAAAAACTGAGATGAATACATTTAAACTACAGTAACTGATCAATGAAAAATGCTGGTAAGGTGTTTCCATTTTTTACAAGATGTGTGCACACACAACAGCACTGTGTATGGCATTCTGGGGATTTGTTAGGTGCATTTGTTCCGCATCTTAATTGATATTATTGCTGTTACATTACACACACACACACACATACCACTAATTTGACAGATAGCAGTGTCCAGTTTAGCATCACAGGGAGTCATAGTCCACTGCCCAGTAGTGGTCATGTGACCGCATCCGGCCGTCTGATGGGGCTCCCCATCTTTCCAGTTTGAATACGACACTTCATCTTCACCCAGCCAGGTGAAGCTCCGTCCCTGAAAACATTAAAAAAGTAAGTCGCAATTCACTGCAGTTTCTTTCAGCAAGGAAAACACTGTTGCACTTGTGTAACTCTATTCATATTTTAATAACATATACTGTAAGTTAATAATCTCACTCCATAATTGTAGATACCGATCCAGGCAGGCCGGTGCAGGCTATTGATCAGAAGTGTGAGGTAAGCCTGTTGGTAGGGATCCGTCACCGTGGCAAGGGTCCCATTCAAAGATTCACAGAGGTGGAGCGCGCCGGTCCAGTCCAGACGCTTCTCCACAACCCTGTAGGTCACGCCACCCAGCTCTACGGGCTTCGACAGGGAGGCAGGGATAAGAGCCGGGGCCGCAGGGAGACCCGAGTCTGAAGCAACGACAAAGTCAAATAATTTTTCACACTTCTGTTTGTGGTGCAAATATTCTGCACTTTTAAAGCAGTCTATTGTTTCATAATTCATTATCACACCTTGGGACCTTTGACAGATGTAGCCGTTGCTTTCCATCTCACAGGCGCGGGAGGCCCACATGCCAGTGTTCTTCTGTGGGTTCCCATGAATCATCACCACACAGTTTCCCTGAGAGGTAACAGGGAAATGGTCAGAGCAGGAACAGATCAAGGACAAAAACCATGACACGTGTACAGAGAGGTGAGTTTTGTGGGTACCGGGTTCTTGTCGTGGTGTGGTCCGCTGTTGTCCAGTGGCTCTCCGGGAGCCCAGTTGGTGTAGCTGAGCAGGCCCGCCTTGGCCCACTGGAAATGGCCTTTAGAGTCTGAGGTCAGACCCACCCAAAGGTCGACGCTGGCATTTTGAAGCAGGGTTGTGACAAAAGCTATTAGGAAGAGAATCGATTGCATCAGTGTGCATGTGTGCGGTGAGACTCTTATCAACAGTGATAAATATAGGGACAGTTTAATATGAACATGAATATCTAAACCACATACTAATTGTTGATTCTTATGATTTTAACATACTACATCCATGTGATACTGCTCACAATGACAGATCATACACATTTGCTGTATAAAAGTAATTATACCTGAGGAAGTAGGTAATCTATATTCGTGGAGAGGTAAGTTCATTAACTTTAGTTTGGTCCAGCCCCCCCCCTCCCAGCTTTGGACTTTACGGCCAGCTGTATTCTGCTGTAATTACCTTGCTCCAAATGATTGGACACCACTGCCAGTACACCTCCCTGTGTTTCACATTTCAGCTTGGCTGCAGACCATGTGACTCGGTATAACTGATCAAAAACTCTGAAACACTACAGAAACACCAGATGTCATTGCGCACATTAAAAAAAACAAGGCTCAGGTTAGGTTGAGTAAAGACCAAAAACAGGTGCATGAAATAAAACATGAATAGGTACTTAATGTTTACTTGCTATGAGTTACTGCCTGTATGGTATACTTATTTGATGCATCCTGTATACAACTTAACATAATAATTGCATCATACTGGGCTACTGGTGTGTTGTAGCTCTACCTTATGTTGATAGGAAGACCATCCGTCAGGACAGCCTGAAGGTGGGTGGGGGGATGACGGAGTTGGAGGAATGGTGCCTGTGACATTCACTCTTTTACATATGTAGGGCAGGTCAGAGTGGCACTTTTGATCAGCCCACTCCGCTGTTAGGGAGGGAAAAATACAAGCTCATGCACATGTGTGCTGTATTTGATTTAATCTCATGAGGTCTCATTTTCAGGATGTTCTTACCTTTGCTGGCGGACAAGTGGACACATCTGCGATCACGGCTGACCGGGTGTGGCCTCCCGAGGGCCCAGGACACATAATTGAGCACAGAGTGGTCTGACCAGCGGAAACGGCCATCATTTTCATAGGTGTGAAGCCCCAGCCACCAGTTGTCACCCTCCACTTTCACCATCTGAATGCGAGCGATAAACTGTGAAAAGGCATATCGAGGCCTCACAGACCTTGAAACAGGCAGGGCATGACTGTGGAAAAGGCTGGCAGCAGATTAAAAATAATGATGAAACAGATCACACAGGTTGATGCTTGTTCGGTATTTCTAAAGTGCTGCCCTCATAAAGCTGGATTGCCTGCAAAACCACCAGTAATTCATTTCCTTTATGCATTATAATCAACTCATACAAACAATGATGAACTTTTTGATAAAGTGTGCAGTGCCTTGATTAAAGTGTTTGCCAGGAAAGCTTCCTCCTCAGCTGAGTGGACGGAGGCCAGCGAGGAGTCAAACCAGGAGCAAATCCTCTGGGCCTGGTCCCAAGTGTTGCGGTGGTCAAAGAATTTATACTCAGCCTCCTGGAAGCCAATCCACTCCGGTGAAGTGGTGCCTGACGGATGAGGGGTGAGAAAAGAAGGAAAGACAGTCATGAGACATAATAGGAAGGTTTTAAAATAAGGCCTCAGGAGATCAGTTCAGTATGCCGAGAGAAGATCAAAGCTAAGAAGATGAGACTGACCTTCAGAGACATCTGGTTCCTTCTCAACACTACCTGAAAGCCCACACACAAGAAAAAAAGCGTTTTCATGACATATATAATGTGAGCGACCCAAAATGCAATGAGGAAAAAGGGAAGCAATCTTGAGAGACTCAAATCAGAGAGTGACACTGTAGGTGGAAAAGGGGATTTTCTAAAGATGAATAGAAAATGTGCAACATGGAATACAATACAAAAATTTGGATTTAAATATGTCCGGTGCTCATGTACTAATACAGTATAGGACTTTCTAAATGAGCCCAAAGAAAAGGCACAGCGTTGTTGTACCTCTGGGGATCTTGCAGATCCAGTCTAACTCAGAGTCACAGTGCATGGCCAGCCAGGTCATAGTGCCCAGGTCTGCTGCAGCGCATTGCCTGACGTTGTAGTAGTAGCGGCCGAAGTTCTGGTATGTGAACTGAGACACAAGCAACGAGTAAACCGATTGTGCTGCCCAGTATATCTAGACAGTTAGGTTGCATCTTGTCTTTACTCACAGCCAGTCCATCAATCCACTTCCAGCTGCCATTGTCCATTGGGTTTCTGCGGTTCAGTCCAATCCAAAACCAGTGCTGCTCGTGGTCTTCTGACTCCCTGTGGGCCACACCATCATCAACACCGTTGATTCAGCATATAACATCACACATCACCTGGTCAGAGGCGCACACTCACCCAAAGGCCTCATGGAGGACCTGCAGAATGAAGTGCTCCTCCTCAGGGCTGGTGATGCTCAGCAGGTTGGCTCCGTGTCTCCGGCAGGACAGGTGAGCTTGCAGCCAGCTCAGCTTCTTCTCCAGCTGGGAGGAATGAAACACCTGCACAAAGAAGAATTTGGTGCTGTCAGCTTATTTTTGTTACAGACTTCACCGATTTAAGGGATCATTTTGGTAATTCTACACTTATATCACAACCTGTGCATTGAATGCTATGTGCTATATAAGCATTTAAAAATACATCTTTAGATTTGCTAAATGTTAAAAATACAGCATCATACAAGATGTGTTTCAGCATTTCATAAAGATAGAGTTCAGAGTTGCATATGAGGGTTATCTGAATCTATATACATGTTCATAATCTAGATGAAATATCATTTTAACTCAAATATTATCATTAGACTGGACACGTACAAAGTAAAGCTACCTTGGTTTTTCACTGTGAAGAAGTTGAACTTTTAAATCGCCTTGAATTCGTCAACCTAATTTGTAAAATGTGATCATATCTGCATCTACATATAATTCACTCGGATGCTCATTAAAAATAAGAATAATTGATTATTCAAATATTAGCCAAGGCCCTTTTAGTCCAAGACTAAATTAATTAATAATTAAAGGAAATTTAAAGAAACTTCCAGCAGAGTAGTGATGGTGTGAAACTGTGAAACATTGCTGAGGTGAACCTTGTAACAGTAGTGCAGGTTGCTGCTGCTCTTCCAGCTGCTGGGACAGGAGCCGCTGAGGCTCGGGGTCGGCTGAGGGACGGGGGGCCCGGGGCTCAGAGACGTGTCCTGGTTCTGACGGCAGATGAATTTCGCCTTCGATGACGCACACTCCCTCACCTCCCACAGACCTGTTGCAAAGCCCGTCGCCATGGAGACGCAGCCGCCGCGGACGCTGACTGAAATAGTTAAGAGGGTGAAGCGTAGGTGAGTGGAGAGAAAGAGAGGCTACACTGATGAAATGTGTGGAAATAGAGAAACGGAAAAAAAAATGTGTGGAAATCGTGATGACACAATTCTTTTCAGGTAATTATGAGTGTCGGATGCTACATTAAACTATTCTCCAAAAAAAAAATGGCCAACATTTGCTGTAAACCTGTCTAATCTCCATTAAGAATCTATTTTTTTTTTTTTTTTTTTTTTTTTTTAACTGTGTGTACACCAGTAGTGGTCTTCTACATGATGATATTGTGTTTTATTGTTATTATAGAGAGATAAGTGTCTGTACATGTGTCATTGTGATGCTCTCTGAAACTCATTCTCCTAGAATGGCATGATACAATCCATGATAAAGCTTTGGAGCTTTAAAGAGAACAAATGTGTTGTGGTTAAACTGTAGTGAGTTTTTCTGCCACTACTCCACCTCATAGGTGCAAAATAAATTGTGGATTATAAAGGCATATATAATAAATGTTCATACTAGAAAGGTTGTTGTGTGACAAAAACCTACAGATGGAGTAATAAATAGACAGAGATCCTTCAACTAGCCACGTCGACTAGAGCAACAAAGTGCAGCTATACTCTGTGCAGAGACCAGACAGTTCATATCTTTGAATATGAATGACTCTAAAGCCAGAGAACTGGCTCACAACTGTTTTTTGAATCTCCAGGTCTGGTTTAGAAATTTCAATTTATCCAAACTCCATGATAGCAGGAATGTTTCAAGAAGTATTCTCCTGTGTGCTGCCTCATTCAAAGCACTTGGGACCAATCCAGTTTGGGCTCTGGTTTAGAATGGAAAATCTTCAGCCAAAGAAGTTAACTCATCACAGCAGCAGGAACAAAGAAATGAATAGGAAGTGGGCGGGGAAGATACTGTAACAACCCCAATCTGGTCATTCTGCATCCTGTAATACATTATCACATATTATATGTGACCTACCTGGCTGGTCGCGATTCCAGTTAGTGTAGGACACTTCGTCCCCACTGAGCCAGTGGAAAGAGCCGGGGCTGGCCTGGTCATGGAGCCCGATCCAGAAGGAATCACCAGAGCGACCGAACACCAGGCTGTTGGCAAAGGCCTGCTCGAACCTTTAAAGATGTAAAGCAGGGGCTTTTAGAAAGGCTGCACTGACAAAACACTGTGATGTCTGTGTGTGTGTGTGTGTCACAGTATGTGTGTGTTGCTGTTCGCACCTATTGGTAATGGTAACAAGGGCAGCTCCATGGTCCTCACAAGACTTTCTGGCTTCATCAAAGGTAAACAGATCTTCACCCACCCAGTAACAAGCTGGGCTGTGCCACTTCCAACCCTGAGAGGAGAGGAGAGGAGAGGGAAAACAAAATTCAAAAATAAATAAACCATTGAAAGAACGCAAACATTTCCGAAGGCTGTGCAGAACTTTAAATTGCTAATTCAACAATTCAAAATCTGGATGTGCACCAACATTGATCATGTTTCAGTAGCTACGCCAGCTTCAGGAACTATACGGCAATACTTAGGCCAACAACTAATTGGAACATTAAAGGAAAATAGAGAATCAACATCACACAGAACCTTTTTGGGGTAGAGGTGTTGGACCAAAGAATCAAGTAAAATCTCACAGATAGAAAGACAATCAAACAACACCTAAAACACCTAAAACATAGTGTATCCTCCACTGCATTGGTAAAAAAAAAACATAAATGGTGTCTCTCAGAAAATAATTTAAATGTCGTTTTAACAGTCAAAACAGAAGTGAGTCCACTTATACCAGGCAACTGTATCCCAAGCAAATAAAAAGAACACGTCCAGACATGCAGGAATAACTTTTCCCTGGCCTCAATCCCTCCTGACAGATCATGCAGGCCTACTAGAGTTGTCGACGTGTACAGATGCAGAGAGCAGCCAACACAAAGAAGCACAAGGGGAGAGGTTTTGCGAGACAATGATAGTGACAGACAGTCCGTGTACAGTTTTGTACAATCATATTTGGCATCTAGATAAATAAACTCTATGTTGCATAGCTAGTCTCTAATTGTGTCTGGTTTTTTTTAGCTTTTTTTCTGACAACAGCTGCATGCTGCGGTAGAAATTGATGCTGTGAGAGCAATGAAAGGGAACTCAAAGACAGCTAAACAACGAGCTGAAAGCTTTAAAGCTCTGTAAAGCCGAGGAGGGCTGTAGATTCAGGTGATGATTCTCTGTAGCTTCACCACTGAGAGCAACCTTCTTCACAATATCATTTTATACTTTGTTATTATACATAATATTGAGTATAGTCACTTTGAGATACACTTTGAGATTTTTTTGTTGTTGTTCCTCGAGAAATTTGATATTGCACAAAGGTTTTTAAACAGTTAAATAACCAAAAAAGAGCACACATTTTCAATTATTGTAGGGCCCCCATGGTGATTGAGGGGCCTAAAGCAGCTGCTCACGCCCCAGGCAGCCTCTGACATTAGACATCAATGTTGTCCCATCTCTCTGTTTATGAAGCAACTGAGTTATGCTGATCCTAAAATCACTATCTTTGGAAGTATAAAGCAAAAATGCAACACTATAGTGTACCGAGTGGATGCTCCGATGAGTAAGATAAATGACAGCGTTACAGTGATGAGCAATCCATTACATTTTTTGGAGTAATGAGCCCAGCGCTGGATGGGGTATGTAATGTTGCTGAGGCGGTCAGCAGGTTTTCTGTCATCGTTGTTTTACATGTTGTGTAAGACAAACCGCACCGCCTCAGGGCACTGCAGCGTGTCATGCCAAATGACTCCCCGTCGCATTACCACCCATGATGCCTCACTCCCCAGGGAGAGGGGTAAAGATTCATCACACCAAACAAACGGTTATACAAAGATCTTTGTTGAAAGTAGCAGCTGAGAATCAGCACGACTCTCAACTTTAGGTCGTTTACATCATAAATCAACGCTTGGCAAAAAAATACAGCATTGCACACACTTTGTTTTCATTTCTCACAATGATTATCCACTAAGTGGAAAAACCTTAACTGTTAACTTGGACAGTGACCGTTAGCAGTAGTGATCAGGTAGGGGCAAGTCAGGTATGAGAGTCTCATATGGAGAGAATTATGGACTGAAACCAGAGACAGATGTAGATAGATTCTCCAGATGTATCTGTTTGCCATGTGGGTACAAGTAGTCAGGATTGATGGTGCATTTCTGTTGTATTTACCAAATACACTTGTTGAATGGAATTACAAACAATATGTTCCAATTTGAATACCTTAAAAATATGTATTTTGTTTTGTTTTATTGGGTCATGGGAAAGTACATGAACGTGTGCATCCAGATTTCAGTTTGTCTGAAAGTAGACCGTGTGGAAGGGTGAGAGATAAAGGAGGGTTCTGGGGCTCAGATGTGAAAGAAAGGCTGAAATACTTAGAATATTAAGTATGCCCCAAGCAACACTACAGACTGTCAGCAGCTGGAATAAGAGCACGGAAATGCTACTGAATGGAGTCTTTGTGGAGTAAAACTGCGACATATAGAGAAGACAAAACACAAAATAATTGTATCTAGTCCAGAACTGGGGGGGAAAAAACAGTAATCTACAGCATAAGAAGTATTTGTGAAGGAGAAAAATGAGGTATGTACCAACAAATGCAAATTAAAAAGAAAACAGAATTACTTGTTTGCAGTCTTGGTGCTTTGGCTTCCCATCACTCTTTGTTCCCGGTTTCTTACAGATGGAGGCCAGAGTCAGATTACAAGGGCTGTCATCCCAGCGGCCCTCCTGCACATGTAAGCAAGACACAAAGAGAAAGAGAGAACACAGCTGTTAAATATATACAAACGGAGGAGACCCGCTGTCAGTGAGAGTCCATTAGTCCATTTGAGGTGATTAAGGCCCCAGACTTTTAAGGTCAGTGTGAGGGTGAAGGAGGTCACTCACAGCTCCCCAGATGGAGACGCAATCTTCTTGGGTGTTGCGGAAGTTGTTGGGTTCAAAGGGGTGCCAGTAGGTGAAGATGACGGGCGTGTGGTCAGTCCATTGGAAGTCCATTTGCATATTGGTGTCATGGAGCCCTATCCATAACTGGTCAATACCTGATAGAGACATTGGGGGAAGAGATATTCAGATCTTTTAAAGCATTAAAGATGTTACTTAAGAAAACGCACAGAAGTATTAGCATTAACCTTGATGCATTGTGCATGTGTCAGTGGAGCAAAAAGCACAATATTTCACTCTGTGTGTAGCGGATTAGTATAAAGTAGCATAAAATCACCACAGGACAAATAACACAGACAGACAATAGGAAGGTTAGGAAGACAATAAGGAAACAAATAACTAGGGTTAGAATAGGATTAGGGTTCCATCGATGACCATAACACTGACAAACCTTTCCATGAGGTTCAATAACTACATTGGAGCAATTCCATGACCTAAAAACTTGATTCCTCGCTTCATGTGCTGTTTTTCAGCTCAGGGAAAGAAGTGAACTGCCTGGTGTCCATTACATTTCAGCTTGCTCGTGAGATCTGGGCATAAAATATAGTAAAACAGCTGGAAATATTTTACTTTTTTTAAAAGAATGATCTACTTTTTTATGAAGACAATACATACAAATCTGTCAGAAAGTGTTTTTAATTCTTTTTTTTTGCAGGCTGAAAGGCATAGCTGAAACATCGGTGCATTTTGCTTCCGTGTGCATACAATAGAAGCTGAGAACATAATTTAAAGAGCATTCTGATAGATTGTGTGAACCCATCAGACTTTAGTAACATTAGTTACACAAACTCATATTCTTTCTTTCTTCCTTGTGATGCTTTTTCTTCCTTCAGAAAAATATCAAAGTCCCTCACTGTCTGGAACATAGTTTATCTTTCAATGTTTATTATATTCCTTAAAGTCTACTACTTTTATTGTGGTACAGAAATTGAACTTGTTTTATTTGAAATCATTATATTCAATTGCTGGCTCCCAGCAGCAATGCAGTTCAGAGGAAAAGGTAATGTTAAATTATTTTAAAAAATCAACAAATCACCTTTCTTTAGGTTGCGTATGATGAACTCTAGCTCAGGTAGGGTGTGGATGCTGACCAGGTTGGCCTCCATCCTCTGACAGGTTTTCTGAGCTGTATCCCAGTCAATCTTCTCTGACGTCAACTTGTAGCAACCAGCCTGGAAGGCCTGCCAGCCCACATCACACTCATATTTCTCATCATCTGCCCACGAATCTGTGGGAGCACAAAGATAAAACCCATCAAATTCTAACCTTCGGCACTGCGGCAGAAATGTAACTGCTGTAAAAATGTCTACACACTGACCAGTAGTGAAGGGGTCCAGAGTGGCATTGGGCCTCTTCTTACAAACGTACGGCAGAGCAACTGAACAATCGCGGTTTTGCCAACGACCCGATGACTCAGTTCTTATCACAGCACAGTTCTCCTCCTCAGCATGGTTTGGCTGGTCTGAGGGATGAGAGTAAGAAAGGGAACTCTTCAAAACATCACTATTACCAAGGTACCCTTGTTCAAAGCACTTAACCCCCCAAATACTCCAGCCGTCGACAGCTAAAGACTGAAAATGCCCTGGAAGGCCACCAAGTGTGTATTTGAGCAAACACGCTCATTCAGCCTTCTGTGAGAAAAAAATGTTTAAAAAAAGACCTCAGAAATGTCAAGCTTCATAAAAAAAAAAGCCGGAAAACGAGTTGTTTTTACGGTCTGACCTGACTCCCAGTTGAGATATTTGAGTGGTGAGGAGTCGGCCCATTGCCAGCCTCCATTGATGTCCAGGTCATTGAGGCCAATCCACAAAGCAGCACTGTAGCCCGTCAGTAAACCTAAAACAGCAGAAAGAACATCTTTCTCAAATGTTATGAAATACAAGAAAACCCCACGGTTTCCTCTGTGTCATTTTGTGAAGGAAGACACAATAAAAGAAAACACTCAATACTGTGCCTCCACTTAGGCCAAACAACCTCTCTGGTTTGTCATGATTTTAACTGTCAACACTGTATTATTGGGCAGAAGACATAATTGTTATATAATAATGGACTGATAATGGCAACAGGGTCACAACATCCCAAAAATCAATTACTCCTGTTGGAAGAGTGAATGTGCAAAGCAAAGAAGAGGAAATGTGATGCTCCACAGCACATTTCATTGCTCTAGATTTCCTATTAGAGTTTTTTTCATGTTTTCCACAAGCAAACTTAGAAACAAAGGCTTCATTGACATGTCTGACTCCTTTTTATGTTATATATACAGTATATATATATATATATATATATTATCGTCACTGCCTATTTAATCAATGTGTAATTATATCCCTACAGGAAAAAAAAATAAAAGCAGAAATTATCAAAATTCCATATGATCGTAGACTTTCCGTTAATTTGATGTATTCCAGGATGTACAGTATATCAATGATTAATTATCTAACTGTTTGCTCAGCATTGATTCATTTGGGCTTTCTGGCTACTTCTGAGGTTTTATTTGCTGACATGTGCACATTGACTTTACCATTGATGTATGTCTGCTCATGCAGCTTGGTGATGCTCAGCAAGTCCGCTCCCTGCTGCTGGCAACTGAGCCTGGCCTCGCTCCACGACAGCGTAGCCTGGAAGTTAAACTGGTAACAGCTGTCTGTCAGCGGGTCAGTATCCCAGAATGTCTCACAGCCACTGCCTGACAAGTGAGGGGAAGGAGATAAGATGTTAGTTAGACCGGGGGAGAGAGCGGGAGGAAAAAACAGTAAAGTTAACAGGTAGGTGAGAGGAGATTGTGCAGAAGCTCGCTGAGTTTCTGGCTATTTCTCCAGTGCAAAAAGTGATAACTCACTCTTCACGGGACAGAAGCCCCAACGCTCGTCTTTGCCGTAGTCGTAAGTGGTGGCGCACCAGAGGTGACCGTCCTCACGCCCGATACTGGTGCAGTTGTGGAACCACTGGCCGTCATACAGGAAGGGCAGGTAGCAGGGGCGGCCATGAGAGTTCCCCTGGATCGTGTAGATCTCTGGGGAGCAAAGCGGGGGAGGAGGAATTGAATCCCTGCATGCCGCAGGAGAGTCAGACCATGCTTGCGTTGCCTGAAGTTATGGCTGTGAACTGTGCTGAACTGAAATACCTGATCTGTTTTCACAGTGACTTGTGTAATCAAACACACGGTGAAAAACAGAGGATGATGTTACAGTCAAAACAGTAAAGTCAAATAGTGGTCAGCAGGAAGAAGAAGAAACAAACACAAATAAGCAGCTTATCAGGAAAATGCTATTATGAACTTAATTTCAAAACTGAATCAACAGCTTTCATTTCACAAAGAAATGATTAGATCTGCATATTTATATTCCACAGCAAGATCTTTTTGAACCAGGCTAGTTTGAATTTATAAACTATATCTGTATCTATGTTTCTACAGTTTAACAAAACACCCTGAGGCTGCTGTTTTGGTCTCTAGATTCCAAAAGTACAGTGTGGTGTGAAGAAAAGAGCAACAGGGAGAGGGGAGAGGCTGGATCCGTAGTGTTACCAGAAGAAGTTAGGCCAATGGAAAGTAGGGCAGACACGTTAAACGAGGGAGGAAAGATTTCTGAAGCTCCCTTTCTGACTTCCCTCTCTGCTCCATTGCTGGCTGGCTGGCTGCAGCGGAGTTGCTACTCCGCTGACTAATGTCAGAGGCATTCCTCTCCAGCAGCCAGTTGACTTCACAAAGAAACTTGTGAAAATCGGCACTTGAAAGTTGAAAATGTCTCTGCGCCCAATTCCCTCGCCACAAAAGAGCACAAGAGGCCGAGGAGAGGAAGGATAAGGAAGAAAGTGCAGGGAGATTTTCTGGTCTTACGTTGATGGCAGATCTGGTTTTAATTGCAGTGAAGTAAAGCCTGTTAACTGTCGACTCGTATGACTAGCTGAGCCTCGCCGTAAGGTTTGTCAGTGAACAGCCATGACATTTGATATTGGTAAGAATGGTACCGATAGCGGAAATGAGGCTTAGCTGTGAACCACCATGGTTGGATTTAATCTGGACTGAAAACTATACATAAATACAAATACACTTGAGGGCAAGGACAACTCGGCGTGTTTACTGCAGTTTACAAACACCAGCAATGTTTTCTTTGGCTCTCTGACTGGCAGTCTGCCAGCTGTCCTCAAAGATGCCCTAAAAGCAACATGTTGCTATATCCATTTGATCAGATACAGCTGTGGCATTCACAACAGTAAGTCTATCTGCCGCACCGAGGCAGCACAACATACAGTGAAGGAGCAGCTCACTGGGTCACTGTATCTCTACAGCTGGGAAATGAAGGACCTTCGTCAATAGAGAATGATTTGCATATTCCTCAATGGGTGCAATTTGTGATCTCATTTCTTATTTTTTATAGATTTGACGTGGTTGAGGAGGTTGTAAGGCCGACCTCGGAAGTTAGCGTTACACCGGTTCCCTCGACAAAAAGTCAATGGGGCCTTCCACTGGATTTTGGATTATTGCAAATATTGTCTATGATACTTACATACTCCCATTTTTTTCAGCAACAAATCACTTCTATGGTTTTTGAGACGTGAATACAATCGGCAGAAGTGAAAGCTAAACCTCGGGCTATAAACAAACCTCACCACAACCGCATGATTTCACGTCACCACCTCGTCGATGCGATTAAGTTTCGTGGTCTCATTTAGCCACTGGTAAGTAACTTATTTTAAGACACATAAAAGCTTCACAATTTACGAGAGGGGTACACTCCATTATTACTCTTAAAAAATATATATTTTTCATCTTATTTTATATTTATTGTTCCTCTAGTCTTTGGATTAATACATTTGTAATCTCATCCATGTTTTCTTTTGATCAAATTTCAATAGAAATGGTCACAAACATAACTTTAATTAGACAAGAAGGTTGTGTAGAGTGTGTGTATCTTTCATCTATTGTATTGTCAATACAATATTCTATGTTGCTCAGGATTTGCGATTTTAAAAATGAAGGTATTTCTGTATCTGGAAGTGTAGTTATCTTGTAAAACTTGATTATCAATCTGAAGAATCCTTGCTGTGCAAATCTGATCTTTTTTAATTACCAGCATGCTTACCACGATATGTTTTAGAGCACAGGTCCTGCCCACCGCCATGCAGTGTCCATTTGAGATTTGAAGAGGCTGAGGAGCTGTTCCAAAACATGGGTGTGGGAAGGTAGTTGTTGAGGTTGTCCAACACCTGGCCACAGTTCCAGGTCCAGCGTACTCTGGGAGGCTCGCGGTCACAGGTGTACACGCCCAGAGGAGACTTTTCCCATTTGGAGGAGACATTCCCTGTGGTTACGCCCAGGCAGAGCGAGGAGCCCAGGTTGAACAGACGACCCCGGGTCACCCACTTCCAGCGCTGGTTGTCTTCCTCACAGGAGGTTGACAAGATGAGGGAGTGACCCTGCACTCCCAGGCACCCCTGGGGGCCCTCATTGAAGAACGCAAACTCGTCAGAGTCCAGCGGCTCTGTGCAGAGAGAGGGCAAACAATGGCATCAGTCGATAATGCTGATTAAAACAGGATTGCATGTTAGCAGCTAATGTGGCAAGAGAACGGGTCAGCAGCTGGATCAATACCTCCAATAACGGATGCAGTGCTGGGGTAGAGCTAGCTTGAGTTGTGGCCTCTGATTTTCCTGCGTAGTATACTTCAGTGCTATTAATATTAATTATAACCCTTTAATAACCCTAAAATCCTGCATACACATTATATAAAAGAGCTCTCAGCGGGAAGTAAATGTTATGCAATAAACTGTGAAAAGTAGTTGCATGTGTTTTTAATTCAAGTTTAGTGATCACGTTCGAAGTATTTCAACATGCACCAGATGTCAGGAATTCACCCCATTCTCAAGGTTTGACCAGGAATTGCCTCTCATCTTGTTCACTACCTTTTGCGATGTCTATTTATTCTGGATTTTACTATGGAGAGAGCAGCAGTAGAAGTCTTTATCATGAGAATCTGTAACTTAATATTTTACTGGTCTGAATTTGATTAAATTGATGAAACGGTGATGATCCTCGGGGGTGAAATGGGTAGCTGTTTTCATACTGCTGTACACGGATGCCTTCATTGGCATTATTTCAGAGTAATTCTCTGGGGAACTATAGCTGCCTGCAAGGTGTTGAATGAGAGAGCTTTGCAGTGAATGTTTGCAAAATACTGCGAGTTATGGAAAAAAACTGTTGAACTTAACACATTCAGAGCGGTGGCAGGATGCCAGCCTCAGTGACTGGAATATCAGGAACAAAACCCAACTCCCTTTTCTCAACAACATATGCGGTTTTCATTTATTCCTTCTCCCCCTGTTTTTTCTAAACGGATTTAGAGATTGGTAACCTAGAAGCCAGGATTGTGAATATACTGGTCTGTGGTTGAGAGTCTGTGTGAAGTTGGTATAGATAGAAAGACAAGTCAGGAGTGTAGGAGGGATTCTAAATGAAGGTCCTGCTAAAATACACATAAATCCCTTTTCTCAGACCTAAGATATATAGGGGAGAAAAAGTGAGACCCTCAGCATTCCTACTCGGCGGGTTCTTGAGAGTGGCCAGGAAGTGGGGAAGGTGGGAAAAGATCACTGGGCATTTGCCTGAAAAACACAACTCTCCTATGTGGACACTTCACTCCGCTGCAGTCTCAGTCTGTGGCAATCCCCTGTTTCATAATCTTAAACACTCCAAACCTCCAGTGCTGCTTTTATAGAGACAGAGACAACAGTCTCATCAAAATTCCCTGTAATCTGGAGGAGACGACAGACACACCCTCTTCTTGCACTCAGCCTCTGTGGTTGAGTTTCTCAGAAGTAGCAGTTAGCTCATTTGGTCCGGAGCAAACACAGAAATGGTGCGCATGTGGCAGAGTGGTTCAGTGTAAGTTTGGAAGTGCTCTCTATGGTGTGATCAGATATAATCAGCATGCTGTTGTTATAAAGCTATCCCTCTTACAGTATAGCACCCAGTTGATAGGCTTGTTTACGTCATTGTTTTAATCGTGTTGAGGGACATAAAAATCATAAGCATTATGTTATGCATTAAGCCCTCAGGATAGTTCATATAAACCCTCTGTGACAGGCATGTCCTCAGTTCTCTGCTGTAATTCATCTCTACTCTGTAATTACAGTATGGGTGTCTACCACAACAGACAAGATGTTAATCTACTATAATCTTAGCTCTGGATTTAGTTACACCTCTCAATGCAAGTAAAAACCTGACATATACTTGAATAGCCAGAGCTACGCAATGCTGACTCTTTTAACGAAACAAGGCACACATGCCAATAAATCAGTCTTATGGCATTTTGTCACAATAGGAATTAAAGCCACCTTTAAAAATAGACCACATTGTCTGCTTCAACGGTGCCTGCGGGAAGATTTTCACACCAGAACAGGCCCAGTAAAAATCAGCCTTGAGTGTTAAGTTCACTTCAGTATGTGAATATAAACTCAGTATTAATATGTTGACTGCATGAGAAGTTCCTGGCATGATGCTTTTGAACCACTAGACAACCTGAAGCTGCAGCTCCAGACAGAAGCAAATTCAAGTTTTTTAATTCCAGTCTGGAGGGGACACATACTGGATGTTTGATGTGAGAAAAGTCCCGGGCAATCAGAGAGAGTGCAGAATTCCAGATTAACTTTAAGCCATTGAGCTCTGTGAGCGCTAAGCCACAACAGCTCTCCTGCTGTGATCTCGTCCTCTTCTTTGGCCTCTCACCCCTCTTTCAACACTGAAGACAGTTTCCTGCTGAAGAGAGAGGCTGGAACTCATGGCCAAGGACACTCGCCAAGAGAGGCAGATATTCCCAGAACCTCCACCTCCTCAATTCTGTTGGAGGCCAATACTTGATTGTGGGTGTCGAATCAACAGGAAATCTCAGCTTTATTATGACTTCAACAAACTTCTCCTTGTCACATTGTTTGGTGGAGTGTCACTCATTGCTGCTGCTGTATAGTTAAAACAAAAGTGGCCATTTCTTATTCATTTATTTTATACACTTATATCTAATCTAGAGCTCTAGACTGCCTTTTGAGGAGATGGCATTTTCCCCGTAACCTCTCCTTATTTTGACAGATGTCTGAGATTTTTTTAAAAAACGGGCCTTTAACTGACCAGTGTGATGAAATGACAATCAACAAATAGGCAGGAAATTCCAGCCTGCTGTGTTTGTTTCTTTGGTGTTTTATGGTGGTGCTCTGAAGCAACCCAAACTGTGGATGGTTACTCATCCAATGAGTAAGAGGCGAGAGAGAGAGGCGCTATTGGGAGAGAGAGGAGCATATTTGTATCTTGCAATGTCACTCAGAAACAGTAACTGAAACCTCTACGAAAGTGCGTATCAAATTTAGAAACCAATAAAGTGCAAACAAACTGTCCATCATTCCCACACTTAAGCACGGTATAATGGCAATAACGACTTCTCACCGTTGAGGTAGTAAAATCATAGTAAGATAAGAGTCATGTACAAATGCAGTTAAAGGAGTGCTCTGAACCGTGGCACCAGAGACCACCACAGAGTCCATGATGTCTCCACAGGTAGTGAACGGGAAACTTATTTTGAAATGCCACACTAGATGTTCGTCATGCCCAAATGAACTCTGTTGCATTTCAGTTCTGCCAGTCATGAATCAGGGAAAGAATATTCCCTATAAATGATCTAGTATCATCACTGTCACCCCTTTACAGCACAACACTCTCATTACTTATGAAGTTACACACAGCATGGCAGTTCATGACAACATGCTGAGCTGTTCCCAATCAAAAATACAAAGATACAACATTTCATAAAACAAATCAACAATGATAATTCCCCCCCCCCTTAGATCCCTCAGCAGCTCATCCATTTGGTCCAAAAGTGACTGAAGAGGGATTCTTAACTTTGGCAACGTGGGAATTTGATGGCAGGTGGTTGCAAGTCATCTTAAAGGTAAAAAAAAAGCTCAGGATTATTTAGGAGGTAGCAGTATATTGTTAGGGATAAGAGAGTGAACCTACACAATCTCATTATCTAAATCTGACTTCAAGATCAAATTAAAATAGGTAAATTAATGTAATAAGAAGCAGTATGATGCCCTGAGACTGGCATGACGAGGTCATACAATTAAATGAGGTAACTATAAACTCTCTTTTTGTAAGATCAAACTGATTAAATGAAAATGATGAGAAAATGTGTACATTTTCTTTATAGTAGCTGATTGTGTTAAGATGGCCAGAGATTACAGTCTGGTTTGCCCAGAGTGTTCCGTACTTCCAATTAAATGACTTGATACTGACATATATATTCTTTCTCTTTATATCGTTTTCTGTGCCAAATAAATAAATCATGGCCAACCTCTGTTGCAGTCCACCTCATCATCTCATTCATTTACTGTAGAAAGGTCACTGACAGTATACTAGTTACATTGGAAAACTCTGATTTCCAGAACATAATTACGTGGTCAAAAACATGAAACAAATACATATGCATCTAATCTAATCTTTACTGGAGTACATTGCTTAGGTGGGTTTGCCCTCCACAGCATCCCATAACATGTTATGATCCATAGGACCAGACTGAATGTGTTAATTACAGCGTGTAACAGGATGCAAAGGTCACATCTGCCCGCAGGGTGCCAAATGAGCGTCAGGTTACGTCAGCCCACAAAAACCATTGGGCACAAAAATAGAACAACAAAGCGAAAAGGTACGTTGCTTTGCGGCTGGAAATAAACGTATTATATAAATAGAAATCACAATAGAGACACTAAGCTAGCAGCCCCTTCCCTTCTCCCCCCGCTTTCCTCCACATCTGGATCCACTCACTGCTCGGACTTTTGGTTCGTGGCATATCGAGGCATCAAATCCAGAATACGCAGGAATGATCTTTCAGTGTCTGCTTTCTAATGCATTTTCTGACTGCGAGCCGCTACTAAGACAAAGGCACGCACAATAGATTAAACGTCGGCTCGGTTTTTGTCCGACTTTTACATCAATGAAATTGAGCGAAAGTTGATGTTTTTCTCACCCGTAACGCTCCTCTTCAGTTCCAGACTAAAGACGAATAAATATAAAGTGCATTTGTAGAATATAAGTTGCCGATTTGTCCATGTTCTCCTTGATTCCTTGTTTCGGTGACGACCGTTGCCTTGCATGCTCACAACTAATTTACAACACACACGCACACACGCGCACACACACACACACACGCGCGCGCGCTGCACAAAAAAAAAACCCAAACCGAAAAAAGCGAAGTCGGAGCAGCAACTGCCCCAGTGTTTTACTTTGAGGACGATGGTGCAGAGTTGGTGGTGAGTTTGACCGCTAGAGCTCCGTCTGCCTCTCAGTCAGATGAGAGTGAAATGAATGGAGCAGCGTCAACAACGTGTGTGTTTGCGGTTCCCAACATGAGGTCCGGGGACCTCCAGGCGCCTGTTAGAGGACCCACAATAGCAACCATGTGGTACATAGAGGGAATGAAAAAATATGTGGGCTATGATAATGGGGATGAAATCAAATACAAATTCGGACTTTTTAGAAAATACTCATCTTCACCTCCATTATGTGTCGTTTAATTTATTCTTCTTTTAGAGTTTTGCCTCTTTTGCTTAAAAAAATTCTATAGGATTTATATCCTAATGCAAATCTAAAAAAGGCACCACAGGAATGCTGTTATGTGTTTGCAGTTTGTTTTGCAACCCTGTGTTGCATTATTACAATGCATTATCTTGGAATTTTGCTAAAACGAAACTCAAAAAAAATAGCTTACAGTATAGGCTATACAACAATTTACCTCAGACACACTGCCAGACACTGCTCTGGGTCAATAGGATACATGGTAGTTGGTCATCAATTGAAACCTTTTATGGATATTTATAATTTTCACTGCCAGTTCTGAAAGCTTGTGACGGGGTGCTGGAAGGGACTCCGACTGATTGTCGGACCTCAGATTCACGAGGAGCGCCAGAGGACCATCACTTTACCCTGACAGGATTATGAGAGGGATTGTGGAAGTTTGTTGATCTAGGTTTTTATTGGATTTAAGAGGACTTACAACTTGTCCTATGGGTAGTCCTGTGAAAGTTACTATGGGAGTGTGGGATACTGCTGGGGCCGTTGCTAAGAGCCAGCCAGTCCTTCTGTGACAGGTGTGAAAGTTGTGTCTGTATTACAATATTTTTTCAGTGGTCTCTTTCATGGTTGTCCCTTGTCATTGATTCTGTGTGCGATTTCCATGGACAGAATCTCAAGCCGCAGCCAGGGGCAGGACAGTGTCCGGTTCGGGGAACAAAGAATTGCTTCTCTTTGCCGACAATGTGGTTCTATGGGCTTCATCAGGCCAAGAGAGATGAGAGTCAGCACCTCTGAGGCCACGGTGGTTTGCTCCCTCTGGGTCGGGAGTTGTCTCCCCAAGTGAAGGAGTCTTCAGTATCTCAGGGTCAACAGCTGGATTGGTGTGGCATCGCCAGTGATGCAGTCATTGGTGAAGAAGGAGCTGAGCCAAAAGTTTAAGCTTTCGATTTACCAGTTGATCAATATTCCAACCCCTCAGCTATGGTACTGAGTTTAGGGAGTGACTCAAAGAATGAGATTGCAAGTGGATTAAAGGCGTTTCCTCCATAAACTGTCTGGGCTCACCCCTAGAGTTAGGAAAAGGAGTTCAGGCGTCCAGAGGGAGCCTGGAGTAGAGCCTCTGCTCCTCTGTGTCAAAATTGAGGTGGTTCGGTCAGCTGATCGTGATGCGCCCTGGGCACCTTCTTTTGGAGGTTGTCAGGGCACGTCCAGCTGTTAGGAGACCCAGAAAATGCTGGAGAGATTACATATCTCATCTGGCCTAGGAATGCCTCAGGATCCCCCCAAAGAGGAGCTGAAAAACATTGCTGGGTAAAGAGTTGTCTGGACACAGTATTTTATCCAACATTATAGCGACGGTATGACCCGCCCTACTCTGCCTCTGATTGGCTTACCCTGATATTCTTACCCTAACCCGAACCAATCTCACACCTAATGCTTAAGTCCCTGTGTACACGTGAACAGAAATATTTTTAGACCAATTTTTTTGGCCTCTAGTTCACATGCAAACAGTTATTTAGAAAAAAAAAACGCCTTTTTACGGTATTGATTTATGAAAATGCTGGTTACTTTGCATCTGTGTGGACATGTTAAATGGAATGTTTGGGAAAGGATGTCTTAACATAACAGATGTTTTCACTTGAACAACAACCAGCGAAGATCAGTCAAACAGACCTAAAGTAAACCCCGTTGTTCCTTCATGACCGCACTCAGAGCTTGAAGCACAGCAACACCACTCTGCCGTGTCAGCTGGCCCACAGCACTTTGACCGGATGGTCTTATGCTTGGTTGATACCATTGCCTTATCATATCTTTTGCATGAGGAAACTCGTTCCCCACCATCTCAGATTCTTCCTTTACAGGATACTGTTCCTGAAAGGCCACTGAGATGTGTGAATATTTCATATAATAAGACTCCCAATCAACATTTTAGTGGACTTTCATCGCCTTATATTGTAAAGTGACCCTAAGCAGCAACTCCACCGTGTCATCCTTCCATACAAGTCAATTAAAATGTTCGCCATTGCAATAAATACGTATAAAGAAATAATTAGCTATTGCTCTACTATTGTTTACAATATGTTAAGAGCGTCAAAAGATATTAAGCTCACTATGCTCCGAATCTTCTTCTCTGGTATTTAAGGTATCGTTTATTTAGTCTTCATCGCCATCTATTAGCCCGGCCTGCGTTTGGAGTCGCGTTCTAGAGTGGATCGTTTTTTTTAAAAAAAACGAAGGTGGAAAATATGTTTAAAAAAAATATCTATATTGTAGACAGGGACTAGATATATCTATCACAACCTACGTAGGCAACGAGTACTAGCCAATCAGAGCCAAGTAGGCCGATACACCCCTTAGATTTGTGATTTAGTGGTTTGGACTATCTTGCTTAGCCTACTGCCACAGATACCCAGCCCCAGATAAGCAGCAGAAAATGGAAGGATGGATGAGTTGATTAGACTGCCAAAAAGCTGCTGTATCACTAGCCATACATATGAACAGTATGTCTCGAGAGAAAGAGAGAGAGCACTACTTGGTGTCTTCACCGAAAATCAGTATTTGAGGTCTGCTCACAGAGCATGCGGTCAAATTATTCAATTTGTGGCCTTTTATAGAGTTTCACATGCATGGCTGTTTGTGCTAGAATGCTGATTGTGTCTTATCAATTAACAGGTCACCACAGAGACAGAGGTCACACCACTGACTGTTTGTATTAATGTCGTCCTTCATCTCCTGACAGAAGCATGGTGAGCATAACCGATCTATGAATGAGAGACGTTCATCATGATGCTTTAGTAATTTGACTGCTACACTACGCTAACATTTGCATTAAACCGTCACATCAGCCCTTTCTAAATACACGTTGGCATTAGTTCGTTTTCTGACACTTTTTTTTGTTTCTTGGTCCATGTACCTCACTTATTAGAGAATATAATAAAAGAGAATATACACTGTAATTTTAAAGTGTAGAATAAAACTTGCAGACATTCAAAGAAAGCTGTAACGGTAAATCCAGTAAGACAGAGGCCCAGAACAACAAACACATTTTAACCAATAGTATTTAATGGTTTATGCAACTCTCTGCTAAGGCCCAATCTCCCCCAACAGTACTATTAGGTAAACCAGTCCCTTGCATTTTATTGGCCAAAAATAAATTCAAACATTGCTAAATAAATATGTGTGTTTATGGTAGGGGGGGGGGGGGGGGGAGGAGAGAGCAGAAAAAACCATAAAATATTGGTGAAAAAAATGTGGTTGTTCTGCGCGG